TATATATATATATATATTCAGATGAAGCTTTGTTTTCGAATTATTAGTTCTCTGATTTATGCATAGTAGTGTCATAAAATTTGTTTAATATGTTATATACACATAATTGTGTTATTGTTAACTCCTGAAGATTATTAATAAAAGCTAAAAGAGGCACTTTTCATCTGAACTAAAACTGAAGTTAAACTTTGGACTCTCCACGATCCATCATGGCTTACAACTAATCAATGCTCGATTACATATTATATCAGATTTCTCTTTATTTCAATCTTATTTAATTTATTCAAAAAGAATATTTCTCTTTACTAAATATTTAATTAAATAAACTATATATATTCCAATCTAATCAATGGAGCGCAGATCTTTTGATCTAATTCCGTTAAAAATTCAACATTATGCATGCACACTGTAAGCTGTTTTAGCTTAAAAAATAATTTATTTTGCTATATAAACAAATCTGTGAAGATTACATTAAAAGGCACGACTTATTGAAACCTTTTCAAACGGCATGCTATAGGTAATTAAAATTTCTGTCCTATAAAACTCTTTGTCGAAATTGGATTCAATAATATTGTTGTATAGAATAATTTACAGATTAAATGTCTTTGAAATATATCCGAAGCACCTTGAATATACGTATATATATTTGAATAGATGTAAAGTATATTTGTATTTTGTAATCTTTAAAACACTTTTCTTCAAAAATTGCTTATATATGTAGCAACGTTATCATTTGTGAACCATATACAGTAATATATATGTATTTAATCGGATATATAATCATTCATAAATATTTCTCAGAGAATATTAGCTTCATATTTAATTGCCTCATGCAAATTCATTATTATCACTCGAGTGGACATTAGATTTCTTTTGTAAGTTTTATTATAATATATTGTGCACTTTTTTTTATTATAGGCCAAATATAATGCCCTCATTTTATTTATTGGCATTACGTTTTCTTAACATCTTAGCGACATCCTATCGACATTCCCGCTAAAATAAATGGGCGTGTGCATACATAACAATAAAACTCTAAATAACTAAATATTGCTTTAACGTAAAAATAAACAAATTAATAACGTGAAATTTGAGTAAAAAGAAGATTGTTATAAGATTGTTTAAACTTCGTAATAAATATTTTCGGTTTCATATTAATATAAAAAGATTAAAATAAAAATAATATTTACTTTGATTACGTTTTAAATCTTATGATCAAATTGATTTTTATTAATTAATTATTAATTAATTAAAATTATAGTTTGTAAAAGATATAGATAAGGAAATAAAATGTTCAATTTTAAGAACGCATATTTAAAACGAGTTGTCTCAATAACATTTACCACTGGCAAGGCCGACTTATTGATAAATATGAAAATGGAATGGCAAATAAAAAATAAAAACAGACATCGAGTATCTGCAAAAATCTGGCTTTTAATTCAACAAAATTGTATCAAAACGGGAGAAACGCGAGTGAAGGATGAACCTTATTTAAAGAAGAGGTGTAACACAATTGTACATAGTAAGAAAAAAAAAAGAAAAAAAAATAAAAACGACTTAATTCCCCTACAATCCGCGCCAGAATCGTAGACCATGTACTTCTCCATTTCGTCAACCGTTAAACAATCCATGTGAGCGAAATATCTGTGACAGCCGCTCGCTTCGGCTAATAGTACAAAAATCCAGTTGATCGCGGTCAATAACGCAATATTTACGTTACACCGCTAATCGAATGTAGAGATACATTGTAATCTAACGTAAAATTAACAATGTTTAACGTCATTAACAAGTATCATAATGGAAGAACGATTAGCGAGTTGTACAGTACATTCGGTAAGTCTCTCGTTATATCACATTATTATCAGATTACGCGCGCAATGTAGTAATGACAAATAATTACAGGATAATTATTATCTCGCCATTTCAGAATAATCTTTTCTATAGCATTATCGTAACAATACATAATTAAGCGTAATACTTTAACACGATAAACGCATGATGATGACGATGCTATTAGATTTCCTGAGAATTCTACGTTTTTCATTGAGCCCAGCTCAAAATTGCTATAACGGAGCCCTATCGTGTCTCGCGTAAAAAATTATTGTCACTGTGAAAGCCACAACTCTCACGACTCTTAACGAAAAAAACTGTGTATACACGTACGTGTACATGTGCGTATTCCTAATGCACGATCACGGCCATAATCCTAGCATCTACTGTTTTGGCGATATTTAGTGGTAAAAAAAAATCGATAAGAGAACCTGTCTCTCTAAGTGAACGTACTAAATAAAAATATATCGTTTTTCTCGAACGTAGTAAAAACTGCGTTCGCAATAGGAACTTTTTTTTTTTGGAACAAACATGATTTTCAATATTCATCTTGTCCTTTCGCACGCACGGTAACGATAATGAACCAATCGTTGCGCGTTCGCAAGCTCAATCGGCGGTGTGAATCAGCGTGTCCCCGTATTGTCGGACTAATTCTAAGCTATCCGCGGCTACGCGATAAAAATTAAGTCTGCACCCTGTTACCCGATGTTCTAAGTCAGGCGGCGCAACGTCGGTTATAACCGGTAGAGTCAAAAAGGAACAAAAAGAGGGAGGCGACTGGCGCACGAACAAAAAGTAATTTTACTGGCCGCACATGTATAAGATGTCTTCACGCGTCGCCTCTTTTAGATCATAGTCGTATTTGACATACGGGGACAGTTGTTTATTCCGAAATTCGGATTTAATCCTATTACTTGATTCGTCTTTGAGTTCCGTGTCAGAGGTGTGTGATGTGACATCGAGTCCACAGCGTGTTGCCATTGCCAACAACTGCGGCAAAAGTATCGAAAGCAGGCCTGAAAATAAATCGTACAGAATTTAATATAGGTACATATAAAGTGGTACGCGAGTTGTAGAAAAAAAAATTATAGATGTAATATCAACATATAAATATAATGAACATAAATAACATTATGTCAAAAGCAAAAGTACTTATAAAAAATAGAAATTAGAATTCTATATAAAATATAGAAAAGTCAAAAATTAAGTTGTTTTCATACCACATCACGGCAGAAGTAATGTCCTTGTTGCACAACGCATACGGAGCATATCGATTCTTCGATGTATGGATCCACTTGTACCTGTAATAGAAATATATAATGAGAGTTTTATGTTAAGGTAATAATATTAATTAATATATAATTTTATCCAGCGTACCTTTTTTGTAAATTTGTCAGTTTTAATTTCTATGAAGGAAGCGGTGATCGCTTTAAAATACGATTGTTTCGTACTGAATGTAACACGGCCGGATCCTATTGGATACTTATACTTATCCGTGTCTATACCTAAGATAATATTTATTTTTATTAATTTAAGTAAAATTTTATTAATTTTTAGTAAATATATACGTGTACATAAATTATTTATATAATATAAAATAAAATATAAGATTAAAAATGAAATATTTAATAATCAAGAAGTGAATAATAATTACCTGCGTAAATAACTCCATGGAAAAGATCGTCCATGACTTTCGCTAATCCTGCGGCCGTTAACATTCCGTGTAGCGCACCAACAAATACCGTTTTGTGTGCATCGAGTCTCTGTGATGATGATTTGATGTAGTTGCTATTTTCGAGAATCCATGGAATTACTTGTACCTAAAATAATAAAATATTCAAGGTTCAATTGTAATGATACAATTCCGGATATATGCATGACATTATTGACATACATCTTTCGGCTTTGAACGCTTGGATATAATTTTGTAATACCATCTTTTTCCATTGGTAATGTCGTGGGTGCAACAGGACAACATTGCCCTGACCTGAAAGTAGTTTATATACAATTATATTATCTGACAATAATTTATATCTTCTATAACAAATATTCATTATCAAATTAATACTCAATAAAAATGGAATTAATATACACCTGTTTCTCTGATTCAAATATAATATAAGCGTATCCTTTTGGCTGAGCGGACGGTGCTTTTGCGGGCCACTCTACACGCACCGGTCCGAATTGTTTAAATGTTGAAATTAAGATAGCTTCTGTAACATCCCATGGTACACCTCCCAGAAAAACTTTGGGAGAATAAGCAACTGGCTCTTCGATGCTTTGAGGTAGAAAACCACTCCATGTACATGTTGGATAACAATGTGCTAAAATAAATAGATCAATTTGTTCCGATATCAATCATTTAATATATATTCGAAAATAATTAAGAATCTAAAATTTTGTACAAAATAATCTTAAAGATTTAAACTGAAAACAAAAAACTTTATTCATAAAAAATTTATCAGTTTAAAACTCAAAGCTCAATATTGCGATATTTTTATCAAAAAAGTTTTCAAATTCATTAAAAAAATTTCTTATTAATATATAGAATATGGATGCAAATTTACAGCAATCCTGTATTATTTGGATAACTTATTGTATTGTATAGTTAATAAATAATTACAATAATGTGAGATAATTGCAAAAGTTTTACACACACACACGCACGCACGCACACACGCACGCACGCACGCACGCACGCACACACACACACACACACACACACACACACACACACACACACACATGCATACCATACATATATACGATACATACCAGCAGCATTTCGGTGAGACCTCGCTACACGATCGAGAGATACTGGTTGAGCCAATCTGCGCGCAGCATTTCCAAGTCCGGTACAGCAATTTTTCTCATGGCTCAAAAGAGAATTGAGAAAATTACTACGATTTTGCCCGAGTCCGTGATGATGCTGGTAATAATGCGGACTCGTTGAATTCTGTTGTAAAGATGACAAGTATTTTTTTACAGCCATACGCTCAAACGCCGTTCTATTGTTCGGGCACGTGTTTGTCTTTGATATTATGGAGTCCAGAGACGGCGGGAAGCAAGAATTCGATGAAGAATTCAACGACAAACAATTCTATAAATGAACATTTTTGACAGTAATGCTTAGGGAACAATACATTATTTAAGCGATTAAATATTTTTGTATGAGTATTTAATTTCTCACCAATATTATATCAGATAAAGAGCCATCCGCACTACCAATGCCACTTGTCTCAGAATCCGCCGGTGAATTGGAACGCGAGCCGTTACATCCCAGAAGATGAGAAAATTCCAATGTTGGGCTACCACAATCACTAGTACCAATAAATTACTATTTGTGGAATATACAAAGTATGTTGGAATTCGATAATTCTATCAAAATTTAATATTTTATAGTGTAATTAATTCAATCAATTCTAGATATTAATATAGCTAATAGAATAGAATTAATACACATGTGTCAATTTGTGTAGAAGTACTAAATGTTAAAATTCTTTTTTTAAGTTCATTATTGCAAATTAAAATTCAATATTAACTTAAATATTTAGAAAAATTTTATTTTTGTAAGTTTTATTTTATATTACATAATTATTTTATATTACATAATTATGGTAAACAAAAATACTTTTTTTTGGAGAACTAAATAAACAAAGTGTTTTTCAATAGATTTTATTCGCTGAAAACGAATCCGACTGCGGAACTGGCTTAACACGTCAGGTTTCCGAAAAAATTAAGATTAAATGTGTCAAAATTGGCATTTTTGATCATATTTACAATTTTTTTGCAGCCAAAATAAATTTTTTTTCAATTTCATTTATGCTACTTTAAAGCGCTATTTTTTATCTAAAAATTTATAATATGCTAATTACGCATATGAAAAAAATCATATTGTAATAAATATAAATTTATTTTGTAGATAGAAGATTACTATTTTAAAGTGACATAAACAAAATTAAAAAAAAAATTATTTTGGCCGCAAAAAGTGATAAATATGGCCAAAAACACCATTTTTCATACATTTAATCTCAATTTTCTTGGAAACCTGATATGTTCAGTAAATTCCACGGCCGGATTCGTTTTTTCGAACAAAAATCCGAAAAACACTTTATTTAAAACTCAAAAAAGGGTTCTAAATAAAGTATTTTTTGTTGAACTGTGTTATTAAACTTGATGCTCTTGCGATTTTTTTGTCCTCAGTTCACTGAGTCTCTTACCTGTATGGTGTAGAGCAGCCTCGTATAGGACGGCCAAAATATGACGAATCGGTGGGTGAGCCCGAAGAGCCCGGATATTGGAATGATGGTCGATTGGTTGGTGAGGATGGCGTATTTGTGCTAGTACTGGCAGTGGACGAGTAGCTGTAAGGATCTGAAGTGAAGCTACCGGGTGTGCTCGGACTGCCGGGAGTGGTCATTGAATTCGGTGAGCTCGGAATATCCAGGCCTGAGGTATTCGAGCAGAAACCATGATTCCGACACTGTGTGCATAAATAATACGTAATTATACATAGAGGTCAAGTCGCGATATCGATAGAATAAAAAGTCGCTATCGAAAGTAATTTTTGACTCCTGTATTTGTCGTAAACAAATCGTACTTCTCTCGTAAATACTATAAGATGAAAAATTGACATTATCTTCGTGTATTCAAAGATTTTGACGTCGTAAGAATACAAAAATTAATGCTATGTTAATCTTGTAGAGAAATGACGTAGAGAAATAAATTCTTCACGTTTAGAATTTCATATCTGGTTAAGCAGCATGCCAAAATTTGCATTTCGAAGAGATAATAAGAAGAGACGAGGAATATTCTCCGCGCACATGTGTTTCAGAGTACTTGGAACACATCCAAATTGAAACGCAATATTACGCGACAGTGCGAGAGTGCGAAGAGAGTGCGATCTTTTGAAATGGTAACAACTTTGCGTCGGCTCGGATTAAGGGAAGGCGAGACGACATGCATTCTAATAGAGCCGTTTGGCTCGGAGCAATGAATTCTCGATCGACCATCGGGATTGCTTAGCGCGCCATACATTTTATTTAGGTCATTACACTTAACTCAAATTCTTTATTAAAAATCTATTATAAGTAAAACTCTTTTTTTTCTTTGATACATGAAGTATTTGTTTTTTGATATATTCAAATATTTGCTGTAATACATCATAATCAGAAAAGTAATGAATGACAGATAAAATTCCTATTTAAAAAAAAATCAGTTGCGGACTATCACGAAATAAATCATTGAAAGGAAACATAGTAATTTTGTAATATCCATGTAATACATAATACAGTATAATACAAACATTAACTGTTAAGTGCTGGAATCGGAAAAAGAGATGGAATAAGGTAGTTGGAGTTATTCCAATAAGAATGTTCATTGTTCAGATTATTGCACCGCCGAGTAAATGCCTCTAGCAGTATGCTTTATGTTGCGTTTATCATCTTTATTGACATTCTCCACGTAAAATTTACAATTTACCAAAGTTATCGCATTTTTTTATCAAACCGTTGTAGAATCGGATATATTCTTATTTCACAGTGGGAAGCAATTTCGGGGTAGTAATAATAGTGTCAGAGTAGCAGTATAATTTTCCGTAAGATATTACTAATGTGAAATAAAATACAATAAAATAATATAAAATTAAGCAAATATATACAATACATTTCTTTCTCATACGAGAACTTTTAGTTTGCAATGAGTAAAATTTTATTTGGGAAATGAGTAAAAATTTATTTGGAAATACGCAAAAAATGTTTATTTATTAATTTATAAATAATCTTATAATTTATTTTTCTCGATATAATTAAATTGCATCATCTTCTGTCAATTAAATTGTATCATTTCAGCTTAGGATCACCTCACGAGATTTTTATACTACATTGTTTTTGTATTCTTAATGGTAATGAACCTTATCACGAAGCGACAGCATCGTATTGACTCCTACTGATCCACCTACTCTAATATTATTATTATCAAGTTGTAATAAAGTGTAATAAAAACCGTATTAAATATCTTGATCATATAGTTTTCTATGTCCTCAATTAAAGTATCACTCAAATATTCGTCATAATAAAAATAAACTTCTCATTAATTTTAGTATTTTCATTAAGAATCCGAAGTTACATTTCTTACATTGAAACAAAAATCTCATAGATCCATCTTATAATTTACCTCGTGTTGTAAAGATCCTTGCGTTTGGTCATAACTGCTGTATTGATTGTAGTTACGATAGCTTGAAGAACCGATCGTCGATTGATTTCCCATCAGAGATCCTCGAGGCAAGCCCAGTCCGAACATATCAGAGATTGCACTGTCACCTGTAGGAAAAAAATCATTAGGGCCATTGCACACATGTTTCGTAAAACGTAACCGTAAAATGTATTATAAAAATTAGCTAATCAGAGCTGAATATTTTTGATAATTCTTGACTGTAATTAGCTAATTCTTACAATACGTCTTATGATTACTGCTTAAACGAGAATGGATTGAAATGGATTAAAATGGATTCAGATTTTCAGAAATATGGATTCATAAATGTTAAAATGAATCTTTTTCAAGTTAAAAAAAAGTTGAACCGTAAAAATATATTATGAATTCTATTTCATTTAATAGAAATTTAAAAGAAACATTTAAAAGAAATATAAAGAGAACTACATAAATATGTACAATAAATGTTACATATGTAAATTTTTTATTTTTAATTAATAAATTAATCACTTTTATGCATATTTTATATTAATACGTTTCCTTTATTATACTAGCGTATTTTTTGTATAAAAATTTTAAAATAATGACTATAGAATTTCATAATTAATTACTACATTAATTTATTTAAACTTTCACATGCATAATTTTTTTTTATATGGAATCCAATTCATTTTTATGGATTTAAAATATGGATTCAGATGGATTGAAAATTTCTAATCCATTTCAATCTATTTTCGTTTGCTGGGTGGTACGAAGTGGATGCAACAGTCCTTATCACATTATAATCACATAAAGAAAAATGAAAAAAATGTGCGAGATAAAGAACCGAGAGGCTCAAAAAATTCTTTGAAGTCTAGATTTTTAAAAATTATTTTTAGAACGATATTCACAACTGGTTCTTATATATTAACGCATAACAAAAATATATTTTTTATGTTAAAGGAATATAAGCTCTTAGGATTAAAATTAAAATTTTCATTAATTTTATTACGTTTTAAAAAAATTAAGTTTGAAACTATAAAAAATAAGATTGTGTAAAATAAAATTATTCTAAATCTACTACTTAAAAATTAGGAAAAATTCAAGGGTCATCAGAATATGTTTCAGTTACAAATTAAAACCTAAATGTTAAACCAATCAAAGAATCATTTTAATATTTTAAGAGTCTTTAAATAGGAACGGACTATGAATATCAATTTTAATTTCTCAGAGAATTTTTAAAATTCTTGATAATTTTACTTTATCATCGACAAATTGACTTTAACTGGAGCTAACCCAATTCAAGTACATCTCGAGATTGGAACAAAAAGCATTCCGTTTTACCATCGGTGCTGATGTTCTTGTCCGACTGGGAGGTGTCCTGCGAAAAATTTGGAAGATGCGATGGCGACGGCGGCGTTGGCAAATCGAGCAGCAGATTGTTAATCGATTGCAACTGATGCAATCTCTCACGCTCCTGTTCGCGTTCTTTGCCTCGTTCTCGCTCACGGGTCTGACTTAGTTTACGCAGCAGCAGCTTGCTGCGCTCTCGGTTTTGTGTTGCATCCTGATGGTGCAGCGAATCCTGATGAAGCATCGGTATGCCTTGGTCGAATCCGATGTCCGTCTCGTCGCTCTCGTCGTTCACTAGTGTGATGTCTGACTGTAAAATCGATGTTTATTTTAGTAGTTACTGTCCCGCATAACCCGAATAATATTCTATCAAATATTCCTACATAAAACACAGAATCATAAGGATATCACAGGATATCATCATGTCTTCATTTATTACTTATGAGTGACAAATAAGGTCATGATGTCCTCATGGCGTAGAACCATATTCGGTCAGGGGAGGACAAAAATGTATAACTTTCACACAAAACTTATTAAAATGGAGGATCTTTAGCGAGCTTTCATTCACGTGTGAATCATAATTGGGCAACGAGTGTTTAATTTTTCATCGTACAAATTTTCAACTGTGCTGTAAGCCGAGTACGTGAATGGAAATTGAATACGCGTAAAGCTGATTTCTCCGTGAAAGTAAGTAATTCATCGTAGTTCGACGCGCGTGATATCAAATTCCCTTTTACGAAAGCGGAATTCCACGGTGCTTCACATTGAAAACTGGATTCTTATAAAAGTATGCTTTTTTCAAATTCCTTCATTTGTCCTTTCCGAACTCAATTGTTTAGATAATTCAAAAAACTATCCGGTTTCCCAACTCTCGGCGTCTTGCAGATTCCCGCTTTCATTAGGTATGAGCAAATATCTCAAATTACACACAATTGATGTACATAAGTAATTACAAGCAATATGATATAGGTCTACTTATAATTTATAAACAGATGTAATATATTTCGAACACTACTTATATCAGAGTATCACGGTGTTCTTAGTAGCTCGTCTCTTTTCCGAAAGGCTCGTAATTAGGGAATTTTTGCAATACCGTTTATCCAGATACGGTGAAAGGTCAGGTTATCTTCTTCAACTAATTAAGAAAAGGATAACATGATTTTAGCGTTCACCGTAATCTGAATTCACATTATTGTAAAAACCTCCTATTAACGAAGAAATCAGTGTTTTATTTTAGAAATCCGATGTACATACCTAACGGATCTTCCTCTATCATACGCGAACTATACGAGCGACGCCGATAGACTGCGCGGCGTGAACGAAATCGAAAACAGAGCGCCTTCCTTTTGAAGGACGCCGGCGTGGCGTGGTACGTTTATGGAATTCGCGAAAAAAAAAAAACAAAAATTCTTTAGGAGGGAACCGCCGGAAAACACATTCCGTAGCATTTCCCGGAATTTTAGTTTTCGAATGTCGAATCGTCACGGGTAACTAGATCATCAGCTCGATCAATCTTTTGTTGTGTTGTCCACAAAATCCGTTTTGTCCGGGAAACTAATTCTTCTGCCGGCGTACTTATTTAATTTAGGATCTAATTTAGAGTTATCATTGCGATAGCAGAAACGTATAATTAAAAGAGAAAGCAAAAGAAAAAGAGAAAGAAAGAAGGAGAGGGGAGGAAAGGAGAGGGAAGAAGAGGAATGGGAAGAGGGGGGGGGGAGAGAGAGAATATTCATTTCACTGTAATATATATATATCCCTAAAGAAAAAAGAGAGAAAATTATAGGATACGTTTCGACTTTTCTTCACTAATTTCTACTAAGCCCATTATCAAGTTCAATTTACAAACAATATGATAGTTCAATTTTAATCTTGGTTCAATTAACTCTTCACTTTTTCCTAAGTTCTAAAAATTAGAAAAAGATGAAGAGTAAATTAAACCGAGATTAAAGTTAATGTACAGTGATAGAAACGGGGGTATCTTCCTCACAAATTAAAAAATTCTAATACAATATGTAAATATAAATATAATTCCTCATTTTTGTCGAGGTAATTAAGTATTAAATATCATAGTATATGTTATGTATATTATAGATTTCTCTACTCTCTATAAATTTCTTGGAATAAAATCTCACTCTAAAAGAATGAAAAATATTTTTACTCACAAATAAGAGTAGCAAATTTTCACTCTTTTTTTTGGAGTGGAATTTCATTTCTTCTAAGTGAATCTCACTCCAAAAGAATAAAATCTCACTTCAAAAGAATGAAATTAATTCTGCCATTCTTATTTCAAGAGCGCAAATATTTTCACTTTTTTCAATAATAGTAGTATTTTTATTTTTTTGGAAAGGGATTTCATTCCAAGAAATTTAGAACGTAATTTCTCGTAGAGAAATACCTTTCAAGAATTAAATCCCAGAGATTTACGCGAAACTCGGATAATTCGCCACATTCCCGAGCAATCGGAATTTCGGGGAATTCGTCCGAGGTGTATCGTAATGTGGAGCACGTGTTTACCATCAAAAGCCTCACGATTGCGGGTCTCAATCCCCGGAGGGGAAGAAAGGGAGGGGGAAGGGGTCGACTGGCCGCGACCAACCCGGATTCTCATCGTGCGGCCTCGTCACCCCCAAGGGTCACAGGTCACCCTTCCACGCGCGTGGGCTGAGGGTGCGAATCTACGTTGGAGAGGAGTCTCAGATGGCGTGTTACAAATCCATTTGCTCAGGAATTCTCGCGTGTTCACGTATATACCACGGATACGGCATATCGGCCGTGTTTATTTACGTTTCACGTAGCGCAGGACATACATTCCTTTGTGATTGGTATGTCGTCGGCAAGTTAACAAACCGGAACATTCCTCGCCTATTAAGAACCCAGGATCGGTAAGGTGGCCGATTGGGATCGCCAGGGAAGAGGAACAGAAAAATAGCGATACTAGGATCGTCGAGCATGGAATCTGGAAACTTCTTTTCCATTTCTGATGTCTAAAAATATCATGACTTTGTCAATTCTCCTTCCTCTTTCCATCTTTAGTATACTTTCTAGTCTACATCATACAAACTGAATAATATATTAATATTCATATACTTTCGCACGATATAAAGTATAAATGGATCTAATTGAAATCCAACTAGAATCACGAGAAAATGCGTGAATCTCCCTGAAACTCGGGCGATGCCGAATCCTTAGAGTCGCCGGCATTAATTCGCGTAGCTAATTAGCCAATCTTGCGTCCTTCCACCCTTGCGTGATAATCGCGGATATCGTAAGACGAGACTTACCGGTTGCATCAGCGTGGGCATAGCCGCAGAGAGTGTCCCGTCGCAAGGAAACTTCAAGGATGCAATGATGTAGAGATTGTAAAGTCACCTCGATGCGGCTCGCTCCCGCACGGTCTCGAGGGACACGAGCGAGTAGGAGCCGACTCGATCTCGTCCGCCACTAACAACAACGCACGATTAAGCGGTAGACTTCACGCTGCGCGCTCCACGAGAAGTTACGTGCAAGTGACGATGGACCGACGGGCGACGACGGCGGCGGCGAGGGGTGGATTCTCGGGATTGAAGAGAGCGCGGTGGGAGGTCTTTAACGGGCCACGCGAATACTCGTGACGTCCGCCGCTGCCCGCTCGCCGTTTCCCTCGGATAAATGAGGCTCGTTTTTGTTTTCTGACTTATTGCCGATGACACACGACAGCGGAAACGGAATATCCACTCTCTCACATTATATTTATATTACCTATCCCACCGCGAGTTCGATTAGATTTTTACTCTTTTCTCTCCTTTCACTCGGCTGTTTTTTGCCGTTTTTTTAAAATCTATTTTTCTAAATTTATTTTCTTTCTTTTTATTGTAGGGTGAAGTTTATAAGGCATAGGGTGAAGTCCCATGAGACATATTTGCCACGTATCGCCAATCAGTAATCAATAAAACACGAACCACAACAGCGGATCGTTTCTGATTGGTTACGGGGTTACGCGATATACGATAAATACACTTCATGAGACTTTAGCCTTAGAAGCTTGTCCTCAAATATTAACTCTGATTTTAACTACACACGATTGCGTCATTCGTGTCCTGTTCATTTCTTTTCTTCGAAGTCTAAGATCATGAAGTTATAATTTGTTAAAACATCTGTATATAGTTTATATACAATTTTTTAAATATATGATCTTATAAATACTTTCTGAGATGTTAAAGTAATTATAAAAATCACTTAATAATTTTTTAGTGATGACATTTGTTAGTGATGAAAATTAACTTAAGACACGAATGATCCATAGTGTGTAGTAAAGGACCGGAAAATCATGTGTATTAAGGGTTAATAAATGCTTTATCTTTCTTCTGCGCGTTCGCATCCTCTCTTTTTCTTTTTTGCTACACACTTCGAGAATTACGCGTTTTTTTATCACCTCTTTTGTAAAATAAAAGAAATTTAGAACAAAAACGAAAGTTTAAAGCCCATTTGAGAAGATTGTGTTCGCTTTGACGCTTACAGCACTTATGAGTATTATTTGTCCTTGTTTAATATTTAATAAACAACAAGGACATGAAACGACGCTAAAGCGTGTGAGCGAACATAGTCAAAATAAAATATGTAAGAAAAATGCCTTTTCTAAAAACAAATTACAGTTGATTCTTGAAGTGATTAAAATCGTCTTCACATTCTTTATTTTTCAAGCCAACAAATTTGTTACAGACACCAACGATAGCATCTTGCCACTTTATAAGATGTATCAAAATTAGAGTATATATAGAAAAGAAGATATATACATGCTATTTACAATTATTTTGCTACATTGAATATCTATTTAAGACTGAATATCTTTTAAATGAAGCTATTGTTTTGTTTAATATGAGAAAATCAGTTATTTTTATTGCCATAAAAAAAAATTTTATTACTTAATTATATTCTATATGTGCAGTCGAAGAATCTAACATTTCAACTTCGGAACTATCACCGTTCGAGTAATTAACTACTAATACATCTCGCGTTTGTTGTTCTGTCAGCTTACTGGTTTCCAGTGTACTGGCTTCCCCTTTGCCGGAATTCTCCCCCCAGCTCCCAGAGAATAGATTTACTCTTAATTTATCGATATTTTGATCACTCGAACTGCCCAAGTTACTAGAATTTTCTACGGACAGTCTAACTTCACTATCTTCAGGCAATCTTTCATTCTCCACAGATTTATATTTCGGTATCTCCGTAGGTGCATCTAAAAAATTAAGAAATTACATAATTTTAAGTATAAATTTAGAATGCATAAAAATTAAATCAATCATTGCAAAACGGACAGTTTTTTTCAGAAGCAAAATTTTTTTAATTAATTTTTCCTAATGATGTGTAACAATGTGAATTTGAAAATAAATTTGTTATGCAACTGACTTTTTTTTATATTATTTTATAATCCTTTTTTAACATATCCTGTTTGTAACATCGATTCAAATGTGTATATACCAGGATATGGGGGCGCCTCATCAATCAGCTGTTGCATGACGTAACCTAACATGGTTGCGGTAAATGTATCGTCTCTTCTAAGACCGAGCGCTCTATGGAAAGCATCCACTGCCTCTTGAATATTACCCATTAATGCATGAATAAATCCGATCGATGAATAAGTCGAAGGATTTAGAGGATCTAAGACTAGCGCTTGTTGATGATATTCTAGTGCCTCGTCATATTTTTTCATTTTTCTACAAGTGTGGCCCAGATTATTCAATAGGGCTTCCCATTTACTAGGCAGAATCACATTCCTTAGGTCGCCTTGAATGCTTTTCATAGCTTCCTTAAATAATCGTTCTGCATTTTTGTAACTGTATTTAACAAGAATAATTTTCGTGATAATTTATTGATAAATTACAGCAAAGATTTATAATCTTTATTTTTTAAATATATGTAAATGTAGAAGAAAATTTAATATCAAGATAATACTTACTCTAAATTATAAAAGCATATAACACCCATTTCATGTATCACAAATGGATCGTTTGGTGCTATTCCTTGAGCTTGTTGAAAGAACTTGTCAGCCAGTTTTAGATTATTCGTCAAACCGCATTCTAATCCAATATATAAAAGTGGAAGATGACAACCTTTCATTAATTGTGACGCTTTAAAATAAGCAGCCATAGCTTGATCGTGTTCATTTTCAACTGCAAAGGAATGTCCGTATGCTAACCAAGCAGGACCAAACAATCTGTCCAAGACAGTAGCCTTTGCCAAGTATCTTCTTGCTTGGTCGCTTTTGCCTGCAGTACAGCAAATTAAATACTATTAAATAATTTCAAACAATTTTTTTTATTTGTAAACCTATCACAAATCTTCACAATCTGTGAATTTAACATTTTTATACTATTACTATTACTAATTATGTTTAAGAATTATTTAAATAGTAATCACTTACCTATGGTGTAATAATAACATCCAACCGCAAACCATGCTAAGGCCATTTCCGGATATAAATCAACTAATCTATGCGCCAGATAAAACAGAGCTAGAGAAAAGTTTTTGTTAATTTCATTAACTATTCTGTTAACTGTTAACATCGAGTTCTAATATCGTTCATTTATTGCAACAAAATTGTAAATTTACCATTAGTTTTTTTAAGTTCAACTAAACAGGCAATGTGCACTGGAAGACAGGAATTGTGATATGGATCTTTTTTCAAGATTCTGAGGATTAAAAATATCACGTTATATTTTGTTTCTTATGGAATGAGAATAATATTTTAATAGACATGCTACTTACTTCTCCGTAAGAGAAAAACATTGATGATAGTCACAATTATAATATAATTTTTCAGCTTTTGCGACTTCCATGTCCAAATTATTTGCTAATCTATTAGTGAGACAAATGCCCATTATGTTACATTTACTTAATGACTGCTTTTTGTTCGGATCTTGATATTTCTTTAGTTTGCTATCGTATAACAGTCGCAAGAGTTCTGCTTCGCCTTCCGTACATTGTTCAGCGAATGGTAAGGATTCTAATAGTTCCCGTTCTAAGTTAATAATACAAATTATATAAGAACAATATAAAATTTATATAAGAAAATTATATTGTATCTCATAGAATTAATATACCTTCAGAAGCTGAAAGCATCTGATTTTGTACCAAGGCTTCAAATGCTTCATATGAATAAACATCGCATTGTAAGGCTTGCTTATAACACTCTGTCGCAACCGCTCTATTATCCATAGCTTCATATACTCTTCCTTTCACATATAATATTGAACTCTGAACCTGTAAA